ATGGAACGCCACAGAGCATGCCAACACGTACCTGTTGCACAGGTGAGCACACAGCAGCAGTCCTGCGTGACCTCTTCCCTACTGGGAGTCTGCCTTCCTGATTCCTTCCTTCCTTCCGTGTTTCTGCCTGCTGTGTTTCTTCTCTTTCCTTCTTTCCAAATGGTGGGAAACAGGACTGACCCCTTTATGCATACAGGCACCACAATCGTTGGAGCTGCAGTATCTGATACTAACAATGGTGAAGTTTATATGGTCTCCACTGAGCTGTGGGGTGCATCGCTGCTGCCTTTTCTATGTCATGTGTATTGTTTTTTCCAGGAGTTCACGATTGCCTTGCTTTCTGCTCCCATCAGCCTGCGTGTGCCCCCTTCGTTTTGGAGGCCTCTGGCTCTGAGGAGCTGGAAGGCGTGATGGTCCATTGTACCAGCTCAGGGCTCAGTTTGCTTCCACCTTGCCTGCCTCTGCACCTGCCCTGGTGCTCCTGAGTGGCCGTCACCTCGGGGGCCCTGCAGGATTGTGTCTTAGCAGCCTCCTCGTTCTGCTGAGCTGATTCTGAGCTGGTTCTGCTGCGCTGGTTCTGCTGGGCTGGCTCTCTTCATTTCTCAGCTTTGAGATTTTCTAAGATTCCGTGTCCCTGTCACTGACTGACACTTTGTACTTTCCATGTTGGTTTTTATTTTACTATCATGTTTAAAAGATTTATTTATTTGGGCCCGGTGCGGTGGCGCAAGTGGTTGGGGTCCTCGCCTTGCACGCCCGGGATTCCATATGGGCACCATTTCTATCCCTGCAGCCCCACTTCCCTTCCAGCTCCCTGCCTGTGGCCTGGGAAAGCAGTTGAGGACAGCCCAAAGCTTTGGGATCCTGCACCCACGTGGGAGACCCGGAAGAAGTTCCTGGCTCCTGGCTTCGGATTGGCATAGCACTGGCCGTTGCGCTCACTTAGGGAGTGAATCATCGGATGGAAGATCTTCCTCTCTGTCTCTCCTCTCTGTATATCTGCCTTCCAATAAAAAAATATTAAAAATAAATCTTTAAAAAAAAGGTTTATTTATTTGAAAGGCAAGAGTGATACAGAGAGAGGGAGACAGAGAGAGAGAGAGAGAGAGAGAAAGCTTCTATCCTGATTCACTTTCCAAATGGCCGCAAAGGTCAGGGCTAAGCCAGCCCAGAGCCAGGAGCCAGCAGCTTCATCCAGGTCCCCCCATGTGGGTGCAGGGTCCCAAGGACTTGGGCCATCCTCTGCTGCTTCCCCAGGCCATCAGCAGAGAGCTGGTTGGGAAGTGGAGCAGCCAGGACTAGAACTGGTGCCCAAATGGAATGCTGACACTGTAGGCAGGAGGATTGGCCTGTTGAGCTACTGTACTGGCCCCTGCTTTTCTGCTTTCTTAGGTTCTTCCAGGGGGTTCATCTGGAAGGCAAAGGGCCTTGTCTGTCTTGGTTTTTGCTTCCCATCATGCCAGGTAGCCAGGTATGGGCTCTGTGAAGGTGTGGCTTGAGCAGAGGCTCTTGGGAAGAATTTGGGGGAGCTCTGAGGGACCCCTGTCATGACAGGGAGGTCAGCCCAGACCTTGGGGTGTCTGAGAGAGACAGAGTACCACTGGAGACAACGGACAGGGGAACTTGAAGGTTGCCTGTTGCCTGGCTGGTTCAAGACCATGCAGAAACCTTTTGGCTTTCCCATGGGAAAGCAGTGCCTTGCAGGCAGATGTGCACATCTGTGTATTCTCTCCCCCAGGGCCACCACGTGATCACTGGCAGGTGGCTCACCACTCTTCACGGGTTCATGTGATCAGAACACCCCCGTAGGCTCACAGCCCGGAGAAGGAGGCAAGCTGCTAGTCATGTAGGGCAAGCTCTGTACCCAGCAGGCTGGGGTGACGGGACAAGCTGTGCAAAGACACAAAACCGGCTTCGTTCCTTCCGGGCAGTGGGACCCAGAGGGGGCTTGCTTGAAACCTTGGGCCTCAGTGGAGAGGAAGCTCTAGGCCTACCGCATTCATCAGGGCATCACACCACCAAGGCAAAAACTCACCTGTTTCTCGCACCAAGACTGAGGCTTTTGGGGTGCCTGGAGTTCCGTGAAGCTCTGTGAACCTCACAGCCATGGGGAGCGGGACAGGCGCCCCTTCCTCCCCCCCCCCCCCCCAAGCCTCAGAAGCAGAGAGCTGATACTGCTGCAGGTGGCAGCAGCAGGGTGTTCCAGCGCTGTGCCCTCAGCTCACAGCGTGCTAATGGACGGCCTCCCTGCCACTTCTGGCAACGGGCTCGTGTGCGCTCCAGCACCCATCTGAACCTCGGTTGCCTTCAACTGCTCCATGGACGTGGCGGCTCTGAGATGCACCTGGCTGAGATGCGATGAGCTTCCCCTGCACCCCCCCCCCCCCCCCCAGGCACCTGTTCTAAGCGCAGAGGCCACGGGGGAGACCTGCATCACAGCGTGTCCACTAGAGGGAGCTGCAGGTTGTGAACGCTTTCAAAATGGGCCGCGCGTCCTGCAAGGGCCAGGCTGAGCAACAGAGGAATCACTCTCTGTATTGTGACAGCAACTCGGCCTGCAAGCACCCCGAGGGGGAACTCTGCTTCCCCAGCTGGGTGAGGAGGGACAAGTCGCAGCTCAAGGCAGAGCCACCACCATGCGAGGGGCTGGGGACACCGCACAGTGTCGGAAATGGCGTCAGGGAGAGCCCCTCACTCCCCAACCCCTGCTCCCGTCCTGGTTTCAGAACTGGATCTTGAAGGAGTGGTGGGGAAGGTGCGGCAGGTGGGGAAGGCAAGGCCGTGGGATCAGCCTTTGCAGAGAGAAACACTGGGAATGACTGGATGCCGAGGGGGACCTGCTGTCCTCAGCGGCTGGGGGGTGGGGGCCTGCAGGTTCCCAGCATGCACGTGGAGGCCCTGGTGGGGGTGGTGCTGGGGCAGGAGAAGGTGGGCAGGAAGCACCCAAAGGAAGAGGATGGTGGGACCCCCGTTCTGTGGCTGTGCAGGTGACATCCCCAGAGAACACCTCTTGCTCTGGCAGGGTGAAGTCCACAGGTGCGCAGCAGCTGCAGGAATGCACAGGTGCACCTCCTGGTGTGACGTGTGCGGCATACGGACAGCACGTAGGAATTGAGATGGTCCCCGAGGTGCACTTACGGGTCACTCACCTGGCAGGTGCTGCCCTGGCCATGCTGGTCTCCTGGGATTCTCTCTTACCACAGACATCCCTCAACCCCTTCCACCACTTTACACCTGCCACCTCATACCCTGGGTTGCCTCCCCCCACCTCCCCACCAGGTCGCCTTCATGGATAGGGGCTGGATTTGGGATGGCTCCTTTTGGATGACAGCCTTCTGGGGCCTGCCGGGGCTGACTCAGGTCTTAGGCGTGTTTGCCTTGTATGCCTCTCTTAGCACAGGAGCACGTGTGCCCCGGTGCAGGCATGCTTGGTGACTCTCCCAGGAATGAATGCACCAACGTGCCCTGGGTTCCACCTCCGCCCTCCCTCCAGGCCTCTCACCCCACAGCGACCTGGCCTCGCCCTGCCCACCCTAGCCTCAGTTTCCCTGCTTGGGACTCTCCTCTGTCGGGGACTCTGATTTCTTTCCAGGGACCTTCTCCCCTTGTCTCTCTACCCGGCAAACCCATGACCGGTGTAGTGTCCAAGTTGCCTCCTGCAAGAAGCCTTCCTGGACTCCACCCCAGTGTTGGGGGACCTGCACCTTCTTGGGGACTCATGCATCTATTTACAGCGCCCCACGTGGAGTCGGTGTGATTCCCGGGCTGTTGGTCAGGCCCTCTGACTCATCAGCCAACACCTCCAACTCCTGGCAGGTGAGGGCCTGGTTGACTCACCTGGGACCTGGGCGGCACCTCCCTCTCCCTTCCCCCACCATCCGTGCCACTGGGCCTGGTTCTCCTTGGGCCTGGATGTGCCGCCTGCCCTGGGTGGTGTGACGGGAAGAGAACAGGGAATAAGCCGAGCAGTGGTGATGCGGGGAGCACCAGGCACCCTAGGCTGCACGGTGTAGGAGGGTGGCAGGCAGGCAGGCAGGCAGGACAGGGCCCTCAGGGAGCAGAGCTCTGGGGGTGGGTGTGTAGGGGGAGGAGCGGAAGTTGGGGCAGAAACTCCCCAAGGGAGGTTGTTGCATTCAAATCAGCCTGGGTTCTGGGGTGCCCTCCAGAAGGTGCCCTCCAAAGCAGGTGCCATCCGTGAGTAGGGGAGCAAGAGGTGGGAAGGATGCCACCGGTCGTCCCCTTGTCACGCACCTGTGTGGACCGGGCCCTTGTAGACTGCCCACAACCTCCCCTCCCCCAGTTCCATGCCATGCAGGAGGCGGTGGCATCTGAGGCCCTTAGGTGAGGTACCCGACAGGGGCCACCCTATGACCAACCCTGTGACCCCTCCCGGGAAGTAATGCAGCCGGAGTCACCTGACCGCTGGTGCAGGATGGGTCAGCGGGGCTGGCCTCGGCAAGCCCGCGGGGCTGCACGTGGGAGGAATCGGGCCACCTGCCCATCGCGCGAGGGGAAGCAACCTGAGGCCCGCGAGCAAGCCCAGGACCCGGAAGCGGCCCCTTCCTTGTCCCGTGCATGCCCAGGGCAGCCGCGTGGGCGCTGTGGTAGCGCATCCCCGGGGCCCCGGCCCTGCCAGCCTCGGGATCCCGGGTTTTTCCGATGACGCACCCGGGACCCGCCTTCCTCGGGGGAAGCGAGCTGGGGGCGCGGAGCCGCGCGGGACGCCCGGGAGGCGGGCACCCCAACCCTCCGCGAGGTGGGTGGGACTCGCGCCTTGACAGGCAGCGGAGAGGGCGGAGCCTCATGGGGATTGGGTTTCCCTGGGAGTGGACAGGGCCGGATCTGCGGCCCCAAGACCGGCGAGGCGGGGCGGGGCCGGCGTTTGATGGACAGGTGGAGGCTGGCGATGATAGGCAGGGGCCGGGCCCTGGAGACGGACTGGCCAATCTGGGCGCAGGGACCTGGGGCCCCTTGCGCGCGGCATTGCCCAGCCTGGGCCCTGGCACCGCCCGGCGCAGTCGGGTTCTCCTTGGGCGCCTGGATCCTCGCCTCTGCTCCTCCGCCGCGCCCGGGACGGGCTGGTCGTCCGCAGCCATGGAGGCTCTCGGGCCCGTGGAAGCCCGCAGTCCGCTCGATTAGCGCCCCCGGCCCCAGTCGCCGTCGCCCCCGTCGCCGCCCGGGACGCGCGCCTGCAGCATGGAGTCGCCCGCCTCCAACCAGCCCGCCGGCATACCCCAGGCCAAAGGTAGGCGCGCCGCCGGGCCGGGGTGAGGGGCGCCAACCCCGGCCCCTTGCTGGCTTTCACTCTGATCGCCGCAGCCCCCAGGCTGGTCCCCAAACTGCTCCGCGTCCGGCTCAGTTAGCTCAGCTCGCTCCGGATCCCGAGCCTCGCGAAATGACCTCGTTAAAGCCTGAGGGGGCTTCTGGCAGGGCTACCCGCTCGTTCCCCAACTCAGCCCTCACTCCTTCCGCCACCTTGGGGACCCAGCCCTGACCCCCACCTGGGTCCTGGTGCTGCGGTTCCAGGCTCCTGCACGCGTGGATGCCAGTGCTGCTGCCGGGGACCCCACTACGTTCCCAGGGCTGGTGCACCGGCTGCGTCCCTATCCGCCCCTCCGGGACCCTCGCCCCCTTGCAACTTTACCTTGAGCCTGGAGGTCCTCCCTGGCCAAGATCTTGTCCTGTACTCCTTTGACCCGGGAACCTCCCTCTCTAGCTCAACCCCTAGTCTGCCAAACTCTTCCTTGTCTGTTGTTTGCAAGCTTCCCTTCGCTGCCTGGGACCCCTGCCCTGGTCCCGTGAGGGTCTTGTCCTGGTAGCTGGCCTTCCTGGAAATTTCGGTGAGGTGGCTGCGGTCGCATCTGTCATGCAGAGGGCGGGTGGACGAGACTTGCAGGGTGAAAGGGGATTTTTTTTTTTCTTTTCTTTTCAGGAAGAGGAAAGGATGTTTTTTTGGCCTATCCCAGTCTCAGTGGGCTGGGTGGTGGGAGGGGTTTCCAAAGCCGCCCCTGGCTGTAATGAATGGGCTCTTGATCCCTGGTGAACCTGCTGCCTGTCGCCTTGCCCTGGCTAGCCTCCACCCCCGCCCCTCCCCTTCCTCCTTCCTGACATGGGTCTGGGCCTCAGTTTGCTTATCTGTAAAATGGAGGTGATCACACATGTCTCCGGAGGCACGGGAGTGTGACTGGAGCCGGTGAATAAGCAGGGGTGGGTGAGAGGCTGCACACAGTAGGGTGCCTGTTTGCAAGCGTTAAGGTTGCCCTTTTGGTTCCTTCTTCCTGCTGGAGGCCATGTGGTCTCAGGACCTGGCCTCTGAGACTGCAGAGGGAGATCCCCTTTAGGGAGAGGGAGGCTGGCTCCCCTCTGATCCTGCAGGGGCCCAGACAGGGGAGTCTGAAGGGTCCCAAGGGAGGGTGCGGCTGCAGCGACAGCAGTAGTAGCAGCAGCAGCAGCGGCGGCGGCGGCGGCGGCGGCGGCGGCGGCGGCGGCGGCGGCGGCGGCTGTGGGCTGAAGCCGGGTGGGCAGGGTAATTTCGTCTTACGTAAGTGGGAGGCCGGATCCCTGACCATTGCCCAACCCCTGTGAGTAACTCAGCAGGCACTCGCTGCGGGGAGGTGGCTGTGTGGAGGGAGGGCTTTGCTGTGCTTCGACCTCCCTCGCGGAGAGAAGCTCGGGAAGGGGTGGGAAGCAGTGTTTGGAGGCCGTGGTCCAGGCAGACCATGTCTGGTCAGGGCGAAAGCTGAAATTGCAGGGAAGAGAGAAAAAGCCTGGCTTGGGGATGCAGGGAATAGGTTGGGAGGGTGTCAGGTGGCTTGGATGGAGGAACAGGGACCCTCTCAGGAACTGGGAGTTTTCTGGGGGGGGGGGGTCCTGGGACACAGGGCTGAGGACATCTGCATGCTTCTTGCTCTAGATCCCAAGCCCTCAGAGTCACAGGTGCAAGTGCCTTGCCAGGGGCTGCACAGCTGTGACGGCTGCAGTTGGTGTTGTACCCGGAGCTGTTTTGTGTCGATGGTGGTCCCTCCCATGGGCACAGGGTCCCCGGCTGACTTGGTGCATGCTCCCTGTCCCCATCCCCAGTACCCTGCATGGCTCCTAAGCCTGGGGGAGGGCGGACCGAGAGAGGTGGGAGCAGTGCCTGTTACCAGTGCAATGCTTTGTGCAGTGGGTGTGTGTTGCATTCTTGCTACAATGTAGTCCATTGCATAGATACAAAACTGAGGTGATGTAGAGGCAGTGGCTACATGGATTCCACAGATGAGAAAGGCCTCTCTCTGTGCCCACCCTACTCCTAAGCTCTGGGACCCCCCCTCCCTCCCCCAGCCTGGAGCATCTCTCCATTTGCTCTTAGAGGTTGGTGCATGACCCGAGAGCTTCCTGCCAGGTGCAAGGTGTCCTCCCTGCAGGACCTGCTACCCTCTCCTGGCCCTCTTGTCCACATGCTCTCTCTGGCTGGGGTCAGAGGTCAAGGCCAGCTACTGCTGGGACCAGGGAGCAGGGTCCTTGGAGGGCACCACGTGTCCCTGTTCCTGTTCACATTCTGGCTGTGCTGCTTGGGCAGCCCATCAGTCAGGCACCCCGAGGCTGCAGGGACCATGCATCGACTCTGGGGCCATCCCCCCTAACCCCCCAAATCCAGGCTGTCGGAAAGACTGGAAGGTAGTACCTTGGGGACTTCCCCCACCCCTGCCGTGACGCACAGGAAACTCTCTATCAGCCAGCATGTGGCTCTGGGCCCGAGAGGAGCAAAGTTCTCAGGCGGCCTGTGTGGCGAGAGGGCTGGGACAGTGGAGACTTCCGGTGAGTCAGCGGGCACTGGGCGCTGACTCACCCACCGGGCATGCCAGCCAGCTGCTTGCAGCTTAAAGGGGCATTGCCCACCATCCTGGTGACTGGGAGGGGGCTGCCTGCTTGGACCTAGCATGCTATGCCTGACTCTGAACTGGAGCACCCAAGGGGACCCTGTCTTAGACTATGGGCTGGGCTAAGACCCCTCTGTATCCCACTCTTCCCTGCCCTAGATGGGCCCTCCTGGTCTTCGGCGTCTCACCCAGGCACTTCCTCCATGAGGCAAGGGGCCCTGCTTCCTCTTGCTCGTGGAGCAGAAGCAGGTGGCGGCTGCTGGCGTCTGTTTTCCGCCCTCGGCCCGGGGGACTGGTCCAGCTCAGCCAAGCAGCTGGGAGCTCATGCAGTGTGAAGAGCAGAGGGCTCTGCATCGGGGTCAGCCACTTTGGCCCCCGGGAGGTGCATCGATGGGACAGGGAGCATGAAGGGGTGTGTGGGTTGTTGGCAAAGGGTTCAGCTGCCTGGGGTCGGATTCAAGCTCAGCCCCCTTTGCACCTGCACCCTGCCCTGCACCCCGAATGATTTCAGGACCCAGCATTCAGGGAGCATAAGCTTCAGTCTTTCCATGCCTGAAAATGGGAATGGGATGCAGCCAGCCTGATGTCCGTGGAGGTGGGACCCTGGGCCATGCTCAGGAGGGTCTGGGCTCGCATCCTCGCCTGGACAAAGCCAGGTGCCTACAGTGACATAGTGACCCACTAGCTGGCCCTTTGGAAAGTGGCATGCTGGAGACACGAGGTGGTGCCTGTCCAGTGTAGCTCCGGCTGTGGTGTTTATTGTGGGTGTTGCTGATAGGTCGTGAACGCATGAGTCCAGGCTTCTGGAAATGGTTGGATGGGCGGATGGAGCAACACGGGGACTCTCTGGCCGTAGCTCGAATTTGCTGGACATTGGGACCTCCTGCCCTGCGGGTCCCCATGCTGGAGGCTGGGGTTGCCTCCAGCACTTTCTGGAACTCACAGACCTGCCTCTGACCTGACTTTGGCATTCAGAGGCAGACTAAGGGGAAGTTCTGGGGAGATGTGAGCCAGGACACAGCCTGCTGGACCAGCCCCTTGGTATGGGGCACCCAGGGAAGGGACATGCCCTGGATTCCTGCTGGGAATGTTGGTAATGGTCCCTGGGCTGAGCTGGGCAAGCAGCTTGAGTGCAGGCCTGGTGGGGTACACAACCTTGGGTCTCTGCAGGGTGGGGGAGGGGGCAACCCCAAGGAGGAACATAGTGGGTAACAGCTGCATGGTGCCCCTGATAGAGGGTGCTGGTCCTAAAGCCAGGTGGGCAGAGAGGCAGGCTTCTCTCCCTTGGGTCATGCCCTGGTGTTGCCCAGTTAAGACTGGCTGCCTCGCCTGGCCACTTTTACAGGTGCCTGTTTGCGAAGTTTCCTGGCACCAGGGCCAGCCAGGCTTGGGCACCTCTCTGGGGAGACTCATCTGGCTTGTCCTTGCCCTGAGGAGAACAGATGCTGCCAGCCTGGAGGGTTTGTGCAGAGTGGGGAAGATTTGTGTGCCAGCCTGGACTGACAGGCAGGCTTCCATGATGGAGGTGGAAGACGTTGGACAGGGGTGGGGGAGCGTGGCTGGCATCCAGCAGGGCATGCTGGATCAGTCAGTGCTGCTGAGGCCTGCTCAGGACAGGTGGGCCAGGGACTGGTGGACACCTGCTTTCCCTGAATGTCCTCTGTGCCATGGCTTCGTTTTTTGTCCCATTTTGGTGACCTCCTTGGTCCCTGTGTCCCCCTAGCCTCGAGTGAGAAGCCATGTCATCTGCTGCAGGTGCTGGTCAGTGCTGAACTTGAACTGACCCTGCTGACCCCCCAGGTTCTGGGAAGGACCCCAAAGGGTTCCTGAAGCCCCATGTCACGTGGTTTTGTCACACACTTTATGTGCACGCTGTCATCAGCCTTTCTGGGCACCCAGCAGCTGGGCAGGGTGCGGTCATTCACCCTAATTTAGGAGTGAGTAACCACGGCCTGGAGTTGGGGAGTGGCTGGCCAAGGTCACAGAGGTCGAACCTGGAGCATGACCTCATCTTGACCCCCTGACCCTTGCTTGTCCTTTCCTAGAAGTCACTGTACCAGTGTGGATGACATCAGGGTGGAAGGGACCAAGGCAGTGGGCAATGCAGGGGCTCCATGGGCTGGCTGGCACCCCTCTCTGTCAGCTGGGTCCACCCAGATGCTGCCCTGGGCAGCTTTGTGGGGCTTTTCCCATGGTGTCTTATGCCAGGCAGGAAGCAGACCTCTTCATTTTAACAATCTGTTTATTTATTTGAAAGAATGATAGACAAAGAGTCATCTTCCAGATGCCGATTCACTGCCCAAATGGTTGCAACAGCCAGAGCTGAGTTGATGCAAAGCCAGGAATCAGGGGCTCCATCCAGGTCTCCCATGTGGGTGCACGGGGCAGTCCTCTGCTGCTTTCCCAGGCTTATCATCAGGAGCTAGATGGGAAGTGGAGCAGCCAGGACTCGAACCTGTACCTGTACAGTATGCTTGGCCCCTCTGCATGTGCTGCCCCCATGCCCTGACCACTCTGGGTGCTGAATCTTCTGCCCACATTGACCTCAGCACTAAGTCCCTGCTCTCTGAGGAGGCCGTGTCCCTCTGCCCCCTTCCCTGGTTTCAGTGAGGTGAGGCTCCTGAGCTGTTTGCAGTTTTTTTTTTCTCCTTTCTTTTTTTTTTTTTTTTTAAGATTTATTTTATTATTTTTTTATTGGGAAGGCGGATATACAGAGAGGAGAGACAGAGAGGAAGATCTTCCGTCCGATGATTCACTCCCTAAGTGAGCGCAACAGCTGATGCTATGCCGATCCGAAGCCAGGAGCCTCTTCCAGGTCTCCCACGCGGGTGCAGGGTCCCAAAGCTGTGGGCCGTCCTCGACTGCTTTCCCAGGCCACAGGCAGGGAGCTGGATGGGAAGCAGGGCTGCCGGGATAGAACCGGCGTCCATATGGGATCCTGGGCGTGCAAGGCGAGGATCTTAACCACTGCGCCATCGTGCCGGGCCCTTTCTCCTTTCTTTTAAAAAGGATTCATTTCTTTGAAAGGCAGAGTTTAAAATTGAGCAAGCGAGTGAGTGAGAGAGATTTTCCATCTGCTGCTTCATTCCCAAAATGGCCACAGTGGCCAGGCCATAGCCAGAAACTTCTCCTGGGTCTCCCACGTGGGTATAGGGGCCTAAGGACTTGGGCCATCTTCCGCTGCCTTCCCAGGTCACTACAGGGAGCTGGATCAGAAGCAGAGCAGTCAGGATTCGAACCTGCACCCACATGGGATGCCAGTGCTGCAAGCAGAGGCTTCACCTACTATACCATGGCACCAGCTCCGGGAATGGAGTTCTTTAGGGAGAATGTACCTGTGGTGGGCAGGGCAGCCCTCTCTGCCAGGCTGGCTGTGTCTGTTGGGATGCCTTCATGCCCAGTGCCCACAGAGCCTCACCACTGTTGCTGTGTTGGTGGCATGTGTCCTGAGCTGCCTCCCCTGCAGCATCCTGACACGGTGAGATCTCTGGAACTTCCAGATGACCCGTGTACGTGGTGTTCCACACCAAGCGTGCTGCACTGGCAGCCCTGGCAGGTCAGGTCCTCCTATCCCTGCTTCACCATGGAGGCCCTGTTGCCCAGGGCTGCAAGTGGACATAGCTGTGGGTTCCTGGGGCCAAGCCCTGCCTCTGTCTCTGAGCAGACAGGTGCGTGCCAAGCAGCTCCTCTGGGAAGCTCCTGAGCTTTGCAATTGAGGAGTATTTTGACAGCGGGGGTGGGGCCACCCGGATGGGCATCTGGGCAGTGGGGGCATGGTATGTGCAAAGTCCCTGAGGTAGGAAAGCTGACGACCCATAAGGGAATTGTGTCAGAATCTGGGGTCCCTTCCTTTTCTTTCTTCTTCTTCTTCTTTTTTTTTTTTTAATAAATAAAAATTTATTTTACGTATTTGAAAGGCAGAGTTACAGAGAGGGAGAATTGGAAGAAACCTTCCATCTTTTGGTTCACTCTCCAAATGGCTGCAATGGCTGCACTGGGCCAAACCAAACTTGGGAGCTGGGAGCTTCTTCCAGGTGGCCCACGTGGGTGCAGGGCCTTGCTTTACTGCTTTCCCAGGTGCATTAGCGGGGAGCTGGAGCAGAACTGGAGCAGCTGGGACTCGAACCAGCAACTCTATAGGATGCTGGTGCTGCGGGTGGAGGCTTAACTAGAGTCCTGTCTTTACCCCTGGAGTGGCCTCAGGTCGGAGGCTGAGCTAGTGTCTGCCCTGGTTTTCTCAGCCCTTATCTGACCAAGCAGGACCCAAGGACACACACACACACCTGGCACTGACTTGCCTGGCCCGGGGCCTTGCCTGGCGGGCTGGCAGCTTGTAAGGCCTTGCCTGTTTGTTGTGGTGACTGTCTCCATCACGGCCACACCTGGGCCGACAGGGACGGCGACTGGCAGCCCGTAGGCTGTTGCTGGGGCCGTCCCCATGACAGCTGGTGTGGCCGGCCCACAGGCTCAGGTCTCTCCTGACGCAAGCAATGTGCCCCGTCGGGCAGGTGGTGGGGTGACCAGGCCAGGACTTCCCCAGGCCTCAGCCATCCAGCCGAGCCACGGACAGGGACAAGCCACAGGCTGGGGGTGGCCACATCTTGTAAGTGTAGCTAGCTCTCAGGGCATATGGGATGGATGGGAGGATACAGAGGAAGGTATACCTCCAAGCCACCTTCCCAGAGAGAGAGAGAGAGAGAGAGAGAGCATGTGCTACTCTGTCCACTGCTGGGGCTGAGCCTCAGGAACTCCACCCGGGTCTCTGATGAGGGCAGTAGGCACTCCATGTCTTGTGCCATCAGCTGCTGCTTCCCAGGGTGCGCATTGGCAGGAAGCTAGGACCGGGAGCTGACGTGGAGGGCAGACTGCCTAACCGCTGGGCTAAGCGCTCCGCCCCTGGTCTCAATTTTTAGCACAAAGCACGCCCTGTCTGTAGCCTAAGGGCCCCGTACAGGTTACTGGTGGTCCCAGGTCATAATGAAAGCTGTGTCTGTCTACTCCTCGCTGTTCAGGACGAAACTGTCCAACTCTGCCCAGGGAGATGAACCTTCGGGGTGGGCAGGGGGCAACGCCCAGCCTCACAGACAGGAGCTCACGTGGCGTTGCCTGATGCCGCAGTGGCCCCAGTCCCTGGAGCATTCCCACTGTGCTTGGCCGCACAGGCGTAGAACCTGGGGTGCCACCTGGTGTGGGGGTCTTAGGGCCCAGAACCCTTGCCTGGTTCCCTAGAGCAGCAAGGTAGAGGGGCTGATGTGGCCTCAGGATCCCACCCCATGCCTGACACACTGCAACCTTTTTTTTTTTTTTCTCATCCCAAAGGAAGTGTGGGGTCCAGGGAAGCCCAGGCAGGCCTCCAGACTCGGTCACCCACCTCAAGCCGCAGAGCTTTCCTTTACCACAAGGCAAGCTCTTAAGCTGGGGACCTGCCCTGGGGCTGGCTGAACCCCTTGACTTTCTGTGTGGCCTGGGGCTGGTGCCTTCCATCCCACCCCTCACCCCCCAGAAAGCTGGGCCAAGAGTGCTTTGTTCCCAGGGTTGTAGGGACACCTGGAATGACAGACAGTGAGGGCTCCCTGCTGACCCCTGCTGGCCCCTGCTGGCCCTTGCTGACCCCTGCTGACCTCTGGTGACCCCTGCTGGCCCCTGCTGACCTCTGCTGACCCCTGCTGAGCCCTACTGGCTGTATGGTGCCTCCACTCTCAGTGGTCTGCAGTACCATGACCAGTCCCTGAGTTGGGCTTAGATATGCCTGGGCATCGCTCTCTGGCCGAGCTGCTGGCCTCTGGTGTGTGGATGGAGACACCATTGACCTTGACTTCTGGGGGCCCTGGCGTGGCTTCCACGGGGTTCAGCTGCTCCTATCTGCTCACTTCGCCCACCTGCTCCAGCATGGTCACAGAGGACCCCAGCCCTCCCTGGCCAGGGTGCTAGGCTGTGAGGCTGCACTGTGCTATGGCTGAGGCCGGATCCCAGCCTGGCTCAGGGCCTGAGGTCTGCTTGGCAGGTGACAGCATGGCCTAGGGGGTTCCCAGGCCTCATGGAAGGCCAGCGGCAGGCAGAACAGGTGGCAGGGTCATGCCAGGACAGCAGGAGGGCATTGCTGAGTGGCAAGCCCTGGCTGCATCCCTGCTTGGCCAGGCACTGGGAGCTGGGTGCCCTGGGAGAGTCCCTCATCTCCTCTGCAGAATGCATGCCTGGATCCAGGGCCTGCATTTGGCCCTGCACTTGGCCCTGGAGTAGGGCAGCTGAGCTGGGCACTGGGCCTGGGTGGCAGAGCTGGTCCCCATCTCTGGAGGGCATCAGGATGGAGTCCTGGCCATGCTCCCAACTCTCAGTGTCCTTCTTGGGACCTGGGCTTCTCCCTGCTGTATGTGGGATGGGCCTGGTCTGAGCTGGGAGCCCTGGGCTGGCTCAGGCTGCAGGGCCTTGCCCCCACCTTCCCCACAGGGCTCCTTCTCAGCCCACACTCCCTGTAGGTGAGAGAGGCAGAGTGGGGGTGGCGGTTGATGTGCTTAGCAGGTGGGGAAGCCATAGCCCAGGGGCCACTGAGGTCATGCCAAGGCCCCCAGACCTAGCCCTGCCCCTTGCATGTCCCCAGCCATTCAGCCATTCAGCCCCATGGTTATGCAGTGTGGTTGGGGGGGGGGTGGGTGGGTTGTCCAACAGCTGTACCCTCAGTCAGAGGCTGTGGTGAGGGTTGAGCAGGTCACCCTTGGTGCCAGGGCTGGGTGGCCTGGATAGGCTGCAAGCTTTCTTCTTTTGTGTCTGTCCGTGGCAGGTGCATCAGCCTAGTGCACAGTGGGCTATGTTGGGTTGCAGCCCTGCAGGGCAGGGTGGGGGCTTCAACCCTGCATGTGAGGTGTGTCCCCAAGCCGGGCCCCAGGTGTGGCAGCTCCTGCCTCTCACTCCTTGCATGCCTTGCCAAGAGGGCAGGTGCCCATCCGTAAGCCCCTGTGTGTCTGAGAACTGGGGCCCCTTGAGGGGTGAGGCTGTGGTGTCTACGTCAGCTCTGTGTCCAGCCTGGTCCTGCCTGGCAGTGCCAGGACTGCCAGGCAGGACATAGTGAGGGCCCCAGGGTTGACCAGATGTCTCCCCTTTGCCTGTTTTTTGTTTTTTGTTTTTTTTTAAGCAAAACCCAAGCGGAAGAAAGACTTACGGATCTCCTGTGTGTCCAAGCCACCTGCACCCAACCCCACGTGAGTCGGCCTCTACTTCCTCCCTAGCTCAACCTGGGCGTGCTTATGGCAGGGAATGCGGGTGAGGGTGGGCTAGGAAGACTCCCGAGTGGGTCAGGCGGAAGTGGGGATGCTGAGGGGATGGCTCACAGCATCCTGGCACCTTGGCTCTGTGCCCGCATGCTCAGCTTTTACAGTCTTGGCCCAAGGGGCGGTCAGTGGCCCCATGGGAGCCAGAGAGCTCCCCTCATTCGCATCCCAGGGAGGGGTGCAGCCCCTCCAAGGCTCAGCACCTGCTTTTCCTGCAGACCCCCTCGGAACTTGGACTCTCGGACTTTCATCACCATTGGAGATCGGGTAAGTGCTGGCAGCTGCGGACCTGGGCAGGCCGCCCGCCCCCAGTCGTTCTGACATGCCAGGGGCCGCTGGGAAGGGTAGGAGCCGCTGACCCCACCCTTCTCTCTGACACCTGTCTGTGGGAAGAGAGTGCTGTGGGCATGACCTGGGCCAGCGCTGCCTCAGCCTGTGTCATGCGCACTTGCGTAGTGCCTGACCAGGGACTGACAACACTCCCCTGCCAGGGTCTGCTTCTCTCTCCCTGGGCTCGGCGCCCTCCAATGCCTTCCTATCGCTTCTGTCCCTCCAGAACTTTGAGGTAGAGGCCGATGACCTGGTGACCATCTCGGAGCTGGGCCGCGGCGCCTATGGGGTGGTGGAGAAGGTGCGGCATGCCCAGAGTGGCACCATCATGGCTGTGAAGGTACTACAGTGGCAGCGGTGGCTGGGAGGGCTGGTGCCTCTGATGAGGAATGCCCGCTCCTGCTGGACAGCCCCTCCACTGCACCCCTTTCCCCCCTGCCCCTCCACAGCGGATCCGGGCCACTGTGAACTCCCAGGAACAGAAGCGGCTGCTCATGGACTTGGACATCAACATGCGCACTGTGGACTGTTTCTACACCGTCACGTTCTACGGGGCGCTCTTCAGAGAGGTGAGCAGCAGCCTGGCCGCCAGCCCCTCCCGGCGCCGGGGTTGGACGTGGGGGCAGGAGGGGTCAGGGAGGCAAGGAAGAGTCCTCCCTGCCCACCGGAGGCCGCACAGCCCAGCCTTCCCGCTCCCTAGCTGGCACCACCTCGCCCTTTGCCCTCTGTTTCTCCCGGAGGTTAAGCCGTGTGGCTGGCGCTGTGCCAGCAGGTGCCGGGTGGGCGGGGATGAGCCACGCAGCTTGCACGCAGGAGATTCTAGGTGTGCAGGTGTGGGTGAGGAGCTGAGGGCACAGCCCAGAGTGAAACAGGTGCAGCCAAGAAGACAAAGCTGCCTCTGCTGACGTGGGGGGCTGGGAGGAGCCTGCTGCTCTGAAAACCTGAGTTTGGGGTTCAAAGCCATCCCTGTCTGGGGTCTGAGCAAGGGTGTGGAGACTGGGGTTGGGGGTCAGGGGCCTTGGGTGGGCACCACAGCTGAGCCCGGAGCTGCCCCCAGGGAGATGTGTGGATCTGCATGGAGCTCATGGACACATCGCTGGACAAGTTCTACCGCAAGGTGCTGGAGAAGAACATGACGATTCCAGAAGATATCCTGGGGGAGATTGCCGTGTCTGTAAGTGGCTGTGGGACCCAGGAGCAGAGCCAGGGGCCCCAGCACTGCCCGGCAGGGCACCCAGCTCTCCCGCACTGCACCCATAGCTGGCTTGCTGGGGGCGATGCTGGTGCCAGGCTTCACACCAAAGACGCCTTAAGGTGCTTCACAGGGATACGGAGTAAGGTGGGGGAGAGGGTCAGCCCTCTAGGCGTGTGGCTCTCGAAGGTCCCAGGGGAGATGATGAACACGGGGCCTGAGCATCCCAGCAGCCAAGGAGAAAAAGGAAATGGGAGAAGTTTGTGGGAGACAGGTGGTGGTGACAGGACTGGAGGGTCCCTGGGAGTAGATACAGGGAGGTGAGAGGGGCCTGGCTGTGCCATCCTCACCCTCTGCCCCCTCCCTCTTCACTCCAGGTGGTACGGGCCCTGGAGCACCTACACAGCAAGCTATCCGTAATCCACAGAGGTTAGTGCTGGCGGAGGGGTGGGGTGGGGCCTCAGAGGTGGGGCGGGGCCTCTGGGGTGGGGTGGGGCCTCAGGGGGTGGGGCTGAGTATGGTGTATCCGCTCTCTGCAGACGTGAAGCCATCCAACGTTCTCATCAACAAGGAAGGCCACGTGAAGATGTGTGACTTCGGCATCAGCGGCTATCTGGTGGACTCGGTGGCCAAGACGATGGATGCCGGCTGCAAGCCCTACATGGCTGTGAGTGCCCTCGGGGGGCCCGGGCCCTGGGCTGAGCCACCTGCTGCCGCTCTGCCCTGCACTGGGCCATTCTTCTGTCCATCAGGTCAGAGCCTTCCCCACTGCGGGGCGGCCTGGACTTGTCTACCATGCCAAGAGCAGCCCCACTCTGCGCTAGGGGGGGCATCACCTGGGTGCTCCTGGTCTGGGCAGATCCAGCCTCTCAGGCTCTCCCCGGGCAGGCCTGGCTGCTGTGTGTGTTGAGGGGGGGTCTCAGTTTCTTCCTCTGTGCCATGGACAAGTGGGAAGGGATGAGCAGGGGTGAGGGGACACTCAAGCCTGGCTGGTCTCTCCCACAGCCTGAGAGAATCAACCCCGAGTTGAACCAGAAGGGCTACAATGTCAAATCAGACGTCTGGAGTCTCGGCATCACCATGGTATACAGGCGAGCGTGTGTGTGTGTGTGTGTGGGTGGGGAGAGGCTCTGGGGTCCTGGGATGTCCTCCTGGGCTGAGGATGGGGGGACCATGCTGAACTTGGATGCGCCTGAGGCCCAGGTGTCGGGGTGAGCTCTGGCCCCTCACCTATCAGTGTTTGGGACAGGAAGGGCTTGTATCCCAGTTTCCATCATGGAGAGGGACTAGGCAGAGGAGGAGGGGGGTCTCAGACAGATGGTGGGAGGGAGACCCAGGGGTCCTGGGAGTGACCCCAAGGCTCCAGACTTGGTCATGTGAGGCGGCCTCCAACCATCTGCTTCCTGGGCGGCTTAGAAGCTGGGCTGCACCCAGCAGCCCCCTACATGCTGGCAGGGTGGTGGCTGGCCTGGACTGCGCTCTCTGGTATAGCACAGTTTCTCCCCAGGGACTCAGAAAAGCATACGAAATGGGGCAGCACCGAGTGGTGGGGAGGGGAAAGCTGTGGTTGTCTCCACGCAGACAGCGCCTCTTCTGCCGCAGTCCTTGTCCATCAGCTCCTCCTCTGTCCAAGTGAACACGTTTTCTTTTTGATTAGTAGAGATTTACTTCCTTGCCAGGCAAAGTTACAGAAAGAGGGAGCGGTAAATCTTCCATCCACTGGCTCCTGGCTGCAGCAGCCAGGGCTCAGCCAGGCCAGAGCCAGGAGCCAGGAGCCAGGAGCCTCTTCCAGGTCTCCCACATGGTGCCAGGGTCCAAGGACTTGGGCCATCTTCTGCTTTGCCCAGGTGAATCAGCAGAGCGCTGGATTGGAAATGCAGCAGCAGCCAGGGTTCAGGCTGGCACCCTTATGGGCGGCCCCAACAAACAGATTTGGGGTGCTGTGTTACTTCTGTTTCTCTGAGTGGCTATAAACCCTTCAGTCTCTTTACCAAAGGCCCCCTGCCTCCAGTGCACAGTCATCTGACCTGCCAGGGAAGCACGTGGGGGGCTTGATGGGGCAGGGTTATGGTGGGCTAGGTCTCCCAGGGCCTCGGCCTAGGCCCTCCATCCAGCTGACCGTCCCACCCCCCTGTAAGTGTCGCTGCACACCAGCCCGAGATGGGATGATTGGATCAAGCGTTTGGACCAATTTCTGACGTATTAATTATAAGTCTGGCAATTCAGGGAGAGCCAGGAAGTCTAGGAGTGCTCCTGTAGGCCACGCCCATGCCCATGCTATAGGCGAGCCTGTGTCTGGGCTCCACCCCATGGGTGTGTCCATATCAGTAGCTTGTGGTGGCCCTGCCTCCATAGGCGTGTCCACGACTGGGCCGGAGCCGCATGAACCTCGGCCTGGGTCCCTGGCTGCCCTTTTGCACCTGCTGGCTGGAGCCCCACATTCCACCCATAGAATAGGGCACCGTTCCACACAAGGGCTTGGGCTGGCCCGCCCAATCTGGTTCTCATCCCAGAGACCTAAGCTGAAATCAAGGGTTCCCTGTACGGCAACCCAGGCATTTCCACAAAACTCCTGCCAACTGGGGCTGGCACCCAAGGACCGGATCAGCTAAATAGTGGCCTGCAGGTCCAGGAGGAGGAGGAGCCAAGGAGGGAGGACTCCCTGTCCCGTGGGGAAGAGACTTGCCTCCTCTCCTGGAGCTTGTGCCCCTACGGAAGGCGGCCAGGGACCTGCCAGCCATCGCCTTACATGCACCTGACCCAAAGCTGTGGCCCCTCCAGTACTCTGGCATGGGTGCCCTGGCTCGCGGTGTCAGGGCTGCCCTTCAGCCTGGCTCCCGGGGCTGGGCCAGAATGGGCAGGGGGTCCATGGCTTCCGGTGTGGAGTGTGGGTACACATTGCTGACCCTGCTGTCCCATGCCTGCAGATCGAGATGGCCATTCTACGTTTCCCTTATGAGTCCTGGGGGACCCCGTTCCAGCAGCTGAAGCAAGTGGTGGAGGAGCCTTCTCCCCAGCTCCCGGCTGACCGCTTCTCCCCCGAGTTTGTGGACTTCACGGCACAGTGGTGAGTCTGGGGGAACTCCTCAGCACCCCTTTTCTCTGGCACCCCCTCAGCACACAAGCACCCACACTGCATGGCATCATAGCACATGAGGTGGAAGCAGTGTGAAGGAAGTCTGAGGGTCCCAAAGAGGGGGTGTGTGAATGGAGGGGGGATGGATCTGATCAGAGACCTTCCATAAACAGATTGAGAGGAAGGCAAGAAAAGGCAGAGGAACAAACAAAACGCTCCAGACCCACTCAGAGCATCCGAACACACAAGTCTGCTCAAGCTGTTTAGATATATATATATATGGGAGTGGATGGTGCCTGGGTCTGTGTGATGCAGGCAAAGCCACACTCAGAGGGCCATGCATAGTCCATTTCCCTTGTTAGAAAGGACGGACCATGGACAATCCATAGGCCAGGCTCTATAGCCAGTGGCCGGCCTCAACCCTCTGGGGTCCCTTCCTGGGCAGGACACTCGGCACCTGACCAACTTGCCCAGACCCTACACAGGGCCGGTCCCTCATCTGCTGCCCAGGGATTGCAGCCTACCCAGGAAACTTCCCTTCGCCCCCTTGCCCCCTGCTGCCTGGCCAGACGCAGGCCTAGCCCAGTTTGGCTGGCCTGTAAGGCCCAACCCGACCCAGCTTAGCCGGCCTGAAGGCCCTGGCCTTGTCCCAGCTGCTCTTTTCTCCCCTAGCCTGAGGAAGAACCCTGCAGAGCGCATGAGCTACCTGGAGCTGATGGTGAGTGCATGAGGACGGGGCCTGCCCTGGGGAGGTGGGCAGCAGTGCCTGTCTGGGGATTGCACCCCCATGCACAGATGGGCAGCTCTGCCGGCTGGTCCTGGTGGTCCCAGGTTCCCTCCAGCACGCCAGGGCTTGTGGAAGGGTACTGAGGGGTCAGTGGTTGGCCGGTAGCCCGGGAGGACATGACTGCGGAGGAGCAGTCAGGGAGGGCTTCCTGGGGGTGGCTGTCCTTGAAGAGCAGGAACCCAGGCAGTGACTGTGCCCCCTGTCACCCCTCCAGGAGCACCCCTTCTTCACCTTGCACAAAACTAAGAAGACGGAAATCGCTGCCTTTGTGAAGGAGATCTTGGGAGAGGACTCGTAGGGGCTGGGCCGGGATCCTGCTGGGATGCTGGGTGCCCGGCCCAGCCCCTGTGCCGGGGCAGTGCCCGCCCACAGCTGGAAACTGCTGCCATCCAGCCCTCGGGAGGAATCCGGGGGCTTCTCCTACCTGGCTGTGCAAGGCCAACCGTTGGGCACTCACGCCAAAGAACCAAGACCTCCGGCCGCTGCCACCGAGCCCGCCTGGGCCCCATCAGCGCCTCCAGCCCTGGACCCTGGACGCGGAGGTGTCAGAGAGCCAGTGCTGTGTGGGCCCCTGCTCTGGACGCTGCCCAAGCTGTATATATTTTTTAAATCTCAACTGAATGGACCTGGCACACTTTAGGTCTGGGGTGACTGTGCCTTGGGCCTGGCCTGGATGTGAGACACACACAGGGACAAGGGGGTGAGCCCTGAATAAGCCTGCACCCCAACTCCTCAAGGCCTTGCTGTCACAACCCTGGTGTCCATTACTTCTGTCTGTTGGCGTCTAGGGCTGTCGCTTCACTTTTTTTGGGAGTTTGTTTTTTTTAATTTATCCTCTGTTGATTTTTTTTTTCTTTTTGCTTACTGGATTTGGCTGGTTTTCCTTGCATGGATTGGAACTGATCGCTTCTCTTCCCTCCCCTGGGGTGGCAACAGGTGCATTCCTGCCCACCCCACCACCCCCTGACCTGGGCTCAGGCTGTGAGTGTGTGTGTGTGTGTGTGTGTGTGTGTGGCTAGGAGGTGGAGCCCTGGTCAGTCTCTTCTCAGAGAAGTACCTGGGGAGATGTACTGGGATAGGAGCTGACAGGGAGGCCTGCTTGATCAAGGGCTATGAATTTGCTTTGGTGGTGTTTGAGGGAAAAAAAAAAAAAAAAGGAAAATATATTTTTATGAAGAAAGGATTGTACTTCTGAGTCGTTTTCCTGGAGGGTAGGGGGGGTAACGGGTTGTGCGAGGTCGCGTGACAGGGGTGAAGTCCCCTGGGGTCTCCTGGTTCCCAGAACAAAGGGAACAGGGGGCTACTGGGCCACCAAGGTCCTGGCCTGGACTACCTCTGGCATCGTGCCTCCTGGAGGGCTCGGGCCAGGCAGGTGTCTCCAGCCTGACCCCATGCTGGACTCGGGATGCTGGGCACAGCAACGGGGACTGGGGCTGGGTCCCTGCTGGGCGTGTGACAGGAGAGGGTGGGAGAGCCAGTGTGGCCGGCCCCAACACATCATGGAGGAAGCAGGGAAGCTGTGTCCTGGGGACCCGGGGCCTCCCCTCAGAGGGAAGGGAGCTGGAGGGGGGTCCCCTTGCCCAGCCCCACCAAGGGCTGGCTGGTGGCTCTCTGCTGACCACCAAGGGCCAGCCTCGTCCCGAAGAGCTTGGGGACCAGAAGTCGGGGCCCACCAGCCCCGGGAGCCACGTGAAGAACACCGGCGACCACCCCGCGTCCGCCTTTTCCGGTCTCCCACCTCCAGTCCTCCCCTGCCGCTCCGACGTCCAGGAACTCGTCCCCGCCCCTTCCCCACGGAGGACAGCCCTCCACTCTGGCTCCGCCCGTCACCTCAGCAGCGCCAATGAGCGAGGCGAGTGCGGAAGAGTGACAGCGGCGGGGGCGGGCTCACGGCGCTCCCGGTTCCGCCCCGTGCGCGTGCGCCTGCCGGTTCCGCGCGGCCCCGCTGGGCTCCTCCCGCGGCCGCCAGGGGGCGACAGAGCCCGGGGCCAGCCCCGCCGCCGCCCCCTCCCCGGAGCCGCGCCCTGGGCCGAGGCCGAGAGGCCGGGGGACCCCTCTGCCGCCGCCCACCCACTGCCCGCCCTGCTGGCGCGGCCCGGCAGGTGCCCCCGACTCCAGGGTCTGCAGCAAGTCGCCTCCCGGCCAGTCCAGGCCTGGGTGTGGCTGCAGACACGGGGCAGAGGCTGCAGGCCTGAGCGATGCCAGCTTGCCCTCTCTTCTACTCAGAGACCTTGCAGCTGCCTCCCTCTGCTTGCATACCTGCCCACACAGGGAGCTCACTGCCACATACACAGAGGAACTTCCCTGTTTGAATTCCCGAGGCGTGCAAAGCAAGGGCCTCCCCTCGACCGTGTGTGAACCCTGGCCCCCTCAGCTCACTGGCAGGTTGCTGTGGGTCCCCTGGGAGGCCAGGTGCAGAGGGCTGTAGAGAAGCCAGTGCCCTGACCATCATGCCAGCTCCCTGGGAGGACAGAGTGGCTCTGCCTGGCCCCTATCCCCAAGGCCTGGGGTTCTCAGACATTCTGCACACCCACCCTGCACCTGGCCAGCCTGGCTTGGCCAAAACCTCACAGAAGCCCCGGGGGCTGCTTTGTTTGTGTTGTTTGTGTTGTTTGTGTTGTTTGGGGTCCTACTCAGGGGGGCTTGGGCTGGCAGGAGGCCTGTGGCCATTCCTGGCAAGCTGGGAAAGTTTCTCCCTTCGCCGGCTCCCAAGCCCTCCGCTGCTCCCTATTGCCCCTTATATCCAGAGCAAAGGAAGCCCAGCATGTGCTTTGAGCAGCCCTACTGTGTGCCAGGTGGCCTGGGGGAATCAGGACTGAAGATGGAGCAGGGCTGAGCTAGATCCAGGTCCTGGCCGGCCCTTTTTGGGCCGACGAGCTGAGTGGGCGAGGGGTGGGGGTGGTGTTGCTCAGGCCAGGAGGAGATAGGCAGAGCTTATCACCTGTCCCTGTTCCCCAAATTAAACGAACAGTAATTAAGTGGACCATTTAAAATAATGAAACTTCATTACCAAGAAGTGGTTCGGTCTGATTGGTTCTTTCAATTATTCACATTGGGATTTCAAAGCCCCCAGGCGGGAGGGGCCTTGGTGGGTGCGGGGGGTAGAGAAGGGACCAGGAGGGCAGCTGGCAGAGCAGCTGGACGCCTTGGGGTGGACAGCAGTCGCAGGGGGCTTGAGCTGGTGGATCGGGAGCACAGGGGTCACCTCTCAGCCTCAGAGCCTCTCCAGGGTCCCCGGCTCCAGGGGTCACACAGCTCTGAACTTTGATGGGACCATGGTGCTCTGTGACTCAGTTTCCCTGGCTGCACCCTAGAGTCTCCGCTGCTGGACAAGGGTTCTGGCATACAGCCTGAGCTGTATGCCCTCCGGGCTTGTGCCCAGCACCCGGCTCTCCCCCAGGAGTCCTCCGGCCTTCCTACAGGAGTTCCCATCAGACACGGAGTGGTGAGTGGCAGACACTCGGCGTGTGCTGTGTCTGACTGTGACAGTGGGACAGGGTGCGGGAAGGACCATGGGGGTGGGGCGGGGGTGGGGGGAGGGCGCTGTGGCGTCACAGTGTCTGCAGCCTCTGTCGCCGAGCATCTGGCTTTGGGGGTCTCATCATTGAGGTGGCAGTGCAGCAGCCGAGTTGAAAACTGGTGCCCGGTTTTGGGGAGCGGGCGTGTGAACCTACACAGCTCACCCAGGTGCATCAGGATGCTTGCCCCAAAACACATTCCAGGAGGGGAAATCGCGTGAGCTGAGCCGAAGCCTGGAGCCTCTTCCGGGGTTTCTCAAGTGGGTACAGAGGCCCAAAACACTCGGGCCACCCTCCACTGCTTTCCCAGGGCGCAGGCAAGGCACTGGATGGGAAGTGGAGCATCCAGGACACGAACCGGTGCCCATAGGGGATGCTGGCACCACAGGGTGGAGGATTAGGCAGCTATGGGCCCCCGTAAAACAAATCTTTAAAAAGAGAGAGACTGTTCCTTTCATCTCTCACCTTTAAAAAATTCCCATCTGGGTCCGGCGCGATGGCGCAGTGGTTAAAGTCCTTGCCTTCCATGTGCCAGGATCCCATATGGGCGCCGGTTCTAATCCTGGCAGCCCTGCTTCCCTTCCAGCTCCCTGCCTGTGGCCCTGGAAAGCAGTCGAGGACGGCCCAAAGCTTTGGGACCCTGCACCCCTGTGGGAGACCCGGAAGAGGCTCCTGGCTTCGGATTGGCTCAGCTCCAGCCGTCCGGGCTGCCCGGGGAATGAATCATTGGACGGAAGATCTTCCTCTCTGTCTCTTCTCTCTGTATATCTGCCTTTCCAATAAAAATAAAATAAATCTTCAAAAAAATTCCCATCTGAAAGGTGCGTACGTGCACACGCGGAGGGACACTCCACCTGCTGCTTTACTTCCCAAAGACCCACAGTAGCTGGGTCTGGGCCACGTGGAAGCCAGGAGCCCAGACCTCCATCTGGGTGTCCCACATGGATGGAAGCCTCAACCGCTGGAGCCGTCGCTGCTGTACCCCAGGGGTGCACTGTAGCAGGGTGCTGGATCACAGGCAGGACGGGGTTCAAGGCCAGGAACTGCCATGTGGGGGTGTCAGATGACCCTGGTGGTGTCTTGGCCTCTGTGCCCAGCACCCGCCCCTCTGCTCTGTCCTTCGGAAGTGCGCCCTGAGGCCAGCCTCCCTGATTGGTTTGAGCAGTGTGCACTCATTGTGGACAGCTGAGCTTCCTTCTGTCTCCCCCCACCCCCACGCAGTCCCCTGGGAATTCTGTAATTGTAGAAGTTTCTAGACCTGTATCGTCTAACACAGTAGCTGCTTGAAATGCGGCTCAGGAACTGAGTTTTTTTTTTTTTTTTTTAAGATTTATTTATTGGAAAGTCAGATATACAGAGAGGAGGAGAGACAGAGAGGAAGATCTTCTGTCCGATGATTCACTCCCCAAGTGACCGCAACGGCCGATGCTATGCCGATCCGAAGCCAAGAGCCAGGAACCTCTTCCGGGTCTCCCGCACTGGTGCAGGATCCCAAAGCTTTGGGCCGTCCTCGACTGCTTTCCCAGGCCACAAGCAGGGAGCTGGATGGGAAGTGGAGCTGCTGGGATTAGAACTGGCATCCATATGGGATCCCGGGGCATTCAAGGCAAGGAGTTTAGCCGCTAGGCCACGCCGCCGGCCCAGACTGAGTTTTTATTAAAGGCCATTTTCATTCATGTGAGAGCAAACAGCTCCACGTGTGGCTCGGGCTGACCATGACAGCCAGCACGGCTCCCCACGCGGGGGGGGCACATGGCTCCAGCTGAGTGGGGTCTGTGGTTGGTGAGTCCCTTTGGCTCTGGTTTCTGCTTC